TCCCTTGGCCGACCAGCCTGAGGCTGCGGCGCGTATACGGGAAGGCCCGCGGCCGAACACTGAGCGAGGTACTGGTGGTTTGAGAGGGATGGGTCAATGTTACCACCTGATCCCTATAGTCTGTATAATCAAAACATTTACCTGCCTGTCATCCTTGTCTTCCGGACCTCCTGCCTCCTTTTGAATGCAGCCGTTGTTTATGAAGTGATTTACCAGTCCTCCCGGGGGGCACCGGGCCTCGGTGCGTAGAATTGTACTGTCACCCAATAGTCGTGGCATCACACTATAACCTCCGTCAGGGCCAGGGGGTGGGGTGGGAATGGGTCTGGGAAGTCGGATGGGTCTCTCATTAGGAAAGATGGGTCAATGTTAGTCCAGTCATTAAAAACTAAATTGTAATCTCTCACGAGTCCCGGCCCCACTAATGCCGCCTGCTCCCCTATCCATTCTACCTGAGCAAACCACCCCCCCCGTTGCCCTCCCAGCCAATCTTTGCAAAATACCTCAATCGTCTTTCTTGATATCCTGCGCAGTCTGATAGATCTCCAATTAAGATTTGAGGGTGTTCCATCTCCCTGTCAGATCCAGTTGTATAAGTTCCTTTATTTGCCCAGTCAGTTCATGTCCCTCTATTTTGACTTCTTCTAGGGCCAGGAGACATCGTTGCCACCAAAATGCCCACAACACTGACCGTCTACCCAGATTAAACAGGTTACTTGTAAAGAAGGATGCATTCTCTATTGTTGGACAATGTCCTGCCAGGATGGGCTTCCATGACCAAGGCCAGGGAACGTCCGACACTGCTTTTCGCCAGACACGATCCCACCAGCGCCATGTCAGGACCGCCACTGGGCACAACATGAATATGTATTCAATAGTCTCATTTCGCTTTTGCACCAGGAACATGGACAGGCATCTGTTGCGCCATGGGAATGCTTTCCCTTTTTGCTTCAGGCAGGTGTGGTCGATCAACCAAGTATTGGTTGGAAGACAATGGTGGGCA